ACTTTTGGGAGGCCGAGGCGGGTGGATCACCTGAGGTCAGGAGTTCAAGACCAGCCTGGCCAACATGGTAAAACCCATCTCTACTAAAAATACAAAAATTAGCTGGGCATGGTAACACATGCCTGTAATCCCAACTACTCGGGAGGCTGAGACAGGAGAATCACTTGAACCCGGGATGTGGAGGTTGCAGTGAGCTGAGATTGCGCCACTGCACTTCATCCTGGGTGACAGAGCAAGACTCCGTCTCAACAACAACAAAAAAGGAAGGAGATCATCTACTTTGCAGGGACGTGGATGGAGCTGGAAGACGTTATCCTTAGCAAACTAACACAGGAACAGAGAAACAAACACCACATGTTCTCACTTATAAGAAGGATCTGAACAATGAGAACACATAGACACATTCGGGGGATCAACACACGCTGGGGCCTGTGGTGTTAGGAGAGGGAGAGCATCAGGAAGAATAGCTAATGGATGCTGGGCTTAATACCTAGGTGATGGGTTGATCTGTGCAGCAAACCACCATGGCACACATTTACCTGTGTGTAACAAACCCGCACATCTTGCACATGTACCCTGGAACTTAAAATAAATATATAGCTGTCAAAGTTATACTTTGTTTCTTGCCAAAATCAGTTACCTTTATTTGCAGAATAGAATCCAACAACTGATTTTTGTTTAAGAAGGAATCGTAGCGTATGTCCGTTAAACACCATATAAGTAACTGACTCTGAACACCGGATGAGGCTATAACAGGTCAGGTTTTAAGCACAAGCATATAGATTCACAGAACGGCGCCAGACCCTGCCCTGGTTGCTCAGGACACACAGGAGAATAAATTGCACTCTCTCCTTCAGTTTGCATTCTGATGACAGAGACAGCCAGATGCACAGTTTCATTCATGTTAGTATGGGAAGTACTGGGACTGTAATATTAATAACATGCCAACAAGGAAGGACCAGTTATAATAGCTTAGCCTGAGTGTCAAGGAAGGCTTTAGTGAGGAGGTTGCCTTTCATTTGATCTGGGCCTTGAATTTGTCAACTAAAGACAAGGGAGAAAGAGAATAGATGGAAAGCACAGAATGATAATGAGCAAGTTTGGGGCCTGAGTTGTGCAAATAAATATTCCTTATAAATTGCATTACATGCTTGAGATGAAACAAGTTGAACACCGTTTGAGCAGTGTTGATAGTAGAGTGCATTTTAAGGTGTCAGCTTCTCTCAGGACCTGCAGTCATTTCAGCAAGCATGGGTGTTTGGGGTCCTGCCAGTGCGTCTGCCCTTGCCTCTGAGCCCCACAAGAGGAGAGCAGTTGCTGGTTTGCTGCCTTTGCTCCAGGCCTGGTTCTGTGACTTGCCCTAGGTCACCTCTCTTTTCAGTGGTGTGATTTGATTCCCACGTATTTTGTTTTTTTTCAATTTGAACACCCTTAATCTCCTCCCCTCAGGCCTTCACTGAGTTTATTTCTAGGAAGAACAGACCTGATGTAGGGAGACCTGAAGCCCAGGTCATTCAAATTCTCCTACACTCCCTATGTTTTGTGGTGTGTCACGACATCAAATGTTGGTAAAATGTGCTGAGGATGCGTCAAAACCCTGGACCATTGCAGTTCATAGAAGGATTTCTTTTCTACATTTAAACTATGGTATATACAGTATGCCAGCTATTTTCAAGTTTTATTATTACCTTTTAAATTTATAGGTTAGCATAATTTAAAGTGTCGGGAAACAAACCTTCTGGATTTAGTCTAGAAATTCTGGACCATCATTCTTTAAACAGTTCTGTTAACTTGTGAAGATCAGGATGATACAGATCTCACCCTATGGGAGAGCGTACGTGGTGGAGGTCTAGGTTTGACCACTGTGGAAATCAATTGCCAGTATCCTACTAGCTTGGACATTCAGGCACTCAGTTAACCAGCAGTTTTTCTCCTGGATGTGTAGGAGAAACACACACACACCAGGAAATGTGGCCAGGTGTGACCAGAGCAGCAGAAATCTGGAAACAGCTGGAGCACCCATCAGCAGGTGGAAATTATATTACAGTGTTATTATACGACAAGGAGATGTGTCATGCAGTAGTGAAAGTTAGGGGCCTGCAGTTATTTGCAATAGGCAGATTAGTCTAAGAAGTGTAATACTGAACCAAGTCCCGAAGACTCCTATGATAGAAGTCTATGTTAACAAAATTCAAAAACAATCAAAATGAAACAGTGTTTCATTTGGCACACATATGTATAGTGAAACCTTTTTAGAAGCAGAAATACAAAATTCAGGGTTGTGGTTTTAATGGGTACTCCTTGTGGGAGGATGAGGGTGAGATGGGAGAGGTAGATGCAGGTAGGTGGATGTTATCAGTCATGCCCTTGGACCTGGGTATTGGCTTCATGGGTGTTCACTATGTAGTTATGCTTTTTTTTTTTTCTTTTTTGAGACAGTGTCTCACTCTGTTGTCCAGGCTGGAGTGCGGTGGCACGATCTCGGCTCACTGTAACCTTCGCCTCCAGGTTCAAGCAAATCTCCTGCCTCAGCCTCACAGGTAGCTGGGATTACAGGTGCCTGCCACCACGCCCGGCTAATTTTTATATTTTCAGTAGCGACAGAATTTCACCATGTTGGCCAGGCTGGTTTCAAACTCCTGCCCCCAGGTAATCCGCCTGCCTTGGCCTCCCAAAGTGCTGGACTACCGCACCCGGCCTATACTTTTCAACTCACACATGTGTGCACATACATGCTTGTGTGTATCAGAATTACATTTAATTTCATAGATAGGACTGATTTCATTTATAGGCAAGTGAAAAAAATCAGCAGAAGATTCAGGGTTTTTTTTTTTTAATGAATGTGTTATCTTCCTTTGGCTGCTGTAACAAAGTAATCCCAAGTTGGTGGCTTGCAAAAACAAATGTATCCTGTCGTAGTTCTGGATCTAGAAATGCAAAACCAACGCCCTGCTGTCTCTGACGACTGTAGGGAAGAAGGCTTTCCTGCCCCTCTGTTTCTGGAGCCACCAGCAGTCCTTGGCCTTCCTTGGCTCATGGCTGCACCGCTCCGACCTCTGCCCCCATGTTCACGTGCCGTGTTCCTAGTGCCTGTGCCCACCTCTTCTAAGGGTGGCACTCTTTATATTTAGGGTCTGCCCCATGCCACGGTGTCTTCGTCTTAACTGACGACATCTTCAGAAGTCTTATTTTCAAATAAGGTCACATTCTGAGGTTCCAGATAGACGTGAATTTTGTAGGACATTATTCAACTCACTGTAGTGGTCAAAAGCTGTGAAAAGGCAGTTCACAGGAAAAGAAATAGAAATGATTAATATCAAAAATATGCTTAAGACTGGGCGCAGTGGCTCACACCTGTAATCCCAGCACTTTGGGAGGCCAAGGTGGGTGGATCATTTGAGGTCAGGAGTTCAAGACCAGCCTGGCCAACTCGCCAACACGGTGAAACCCCTCCTCTACTAAAAATACAAAAAATTAGCTGGGTATGGTGACATGCACCTGTAGTCCCAGCTCCTCCGGAGGCTGAGGTAGGAGAATTGCTTGAACCCAGGAGGCGGAGGTTGCTGTGAGACGAGATCACACCACTGCACTTCAACTTGGGCAACAGAGTGAGACTCCGTCTTGAAACACACACACACATATATATATAATGTGCTTAACCACACATTACTAAAGAATTGCAGGTCCCACTTACGCCATTTTTTTACCTATCAGATTGCCAAAGATTGTGCGATAGAATTGGCAAGGGTGTGAAAACATGCATCCCTACGATACTGGGAGTGTAGATTGGTGTGGGCTTGTTGGAAGTTAAACACAGAAAGATATTGATTGGCCTCCTCTTCCCTGGCCACAGTGCTGCCCTCCACCCCCTTCTTCCTCAGCCTCCCTGCCCTGAGCCCCATCCCTATTCTGCCACAGAACCACCGTGGGTGCCTGCAGAGTTGGGCCTTAGAAACCTGCTGAGGAAAGCAAGCTCCTGGGGGAGAGGAGCAACTACGTTTTGAGGACGAGCTTCCCTCGAGTGGGCTGCTGCCTTCCTCGGCCCTCAGACCCGCCAGTCAGACTCTGGCTTTCAGCAAATGCCTCCCCAATTCCTTCAGTGGAACAGCAACATAACTGAAGACCAAAAGAGGACCTGAAAAGATGGATGGGGGGAGGATTGAGGCATCCCATGGCCACTGGGAAGCCGCTGCCACAGTCTTCCTGCTCAGCAGGGACTGTTCAGCATGGCTCCATCTCTGGCTCTGCCTCGTTAGTCTCTCCCCAGGGGCCCTGCAGTTGATTTCCTTGTGGGAAGTCCTTGCCCTTGCTCTGCTCGTGGACAGGCACCCAGCAGGTGCCCGTGGGATTGGGCTTAACAGTCGCCATCATCCAGCCTCAGCAAACATGAAGTGTGTGCTATTAGAGAAGGCCTAACCCAAAACTTATCCCAATTTTCCATGGACTAAAAATAATCTAGATTAAGGTTCTAGGTGAGTAATGTAAATACTCAGTAGGTCATGCTGCTCTCACGTACTTGGGAAGCATTATTTCCAGACTCCAAACTGAGAGGCCAAGGGAAACCCTCCGTCTCTCAACCAGCAGAGGCAGACACCAGCTGTGTCCCCAGCTCCGCTGTCCACCTGTGCTGTGAGTGCTATGTGAGTGGCCATGCCTCCCTGAGCATTGCACGTTAGGGGCTGTGTGAACCAGAAGCAGCTCTGGCACAGAGGAGACGTGCTAAGTGGAAGCCCTTGTGGCGAGGACCCCACCAGCAGACTGTTCTGAGGCAAGCCGCCCTCACTGGTCAGATCTGACCAGATCTTTGGAGATACCTGTGATGTCCTGAGACACTCACACTCTGTGACAATAATGACTCAGCCATACGTAACGTGAGTGCCGTAGCTTAGGGGACAGTGATGGTGAGCAGAGCCATTCCTGGGGGCCCCGTTGGGATCTCAGCGGGACTGAAGGAAGACAGGTTGTATGTTTAAAGTTGACAGTACTTTCTCTCTCTGTAGAAACATGAGGACACTGACTGTCCCTGCGTGGTGGTATCCTGCCCTCACAAATGCAGCGTCCAGACTCTCCTGAGGAGCGAGGTAGGGGCGGCTGGGCCCGGCCGGGAGCCTGTGAAGCCCTCAGGGCTGCGTGCCTGGGTCCCCTTCCCTGCATAGCCAAAGCCTCACGTTTTCCCAGTTCATGGGAGTCATGTGTATAGCCAGAAAAATTAAAACCGCAGCAAAAAGCCTTACTCCATTTTTTGGAAGTCAGAAGCAAGCAGTCAAAAGCTACGGTGTAGGGTCGGGTGCAGTGGCTCACACCTGTAATCCCAGCACTTTTGGAGGCCTCGGCGGGTGGGTCACCTGAGATCAGGAGTTCAAAACCAGACTGGCCAACATGCTGAAACCTCGTCTCTGCTAAAAATATAAAAACTAGCCGGGCGTGGTGGTGCACACCTGTAATCCCAGCTATTCAGGAGTCTAAGGCAGGAGAATCATTTGAACCCAGGAGGCGGAGGTTGCACTGAGCCGAGATCGCACTACTGCACTCCAGCCTGGGCAACAAGAGCGAAACTCCATCTCAAAAACAAAACAAAACAAAACTACAGTGTGGTAAATTCAGAGCAAAGATTGTGAAGCATTAAGAAAATGGGAATATTTTATATACAGTACAAGCAAAGGTGACAAGGGGTTTTTAAAGCAATTTTAACTCTATAGAATAGTAATTGCTGTTAGATTATCTCAAGAACATGAATTAGAGACACTTCAGAACCATTTTGCTCACACATGCTGGGTGGAGGACAGCTCCCACATTTTAGGGCCTCCAGAAGGGCCCCGCGTGGCCTCCCCCAAGGGTTGCGCGTCTCACATTGCCCTTGGCACTCTCTTTGAGATAGGTAGATTTTGCGTTGACTTCACTTGATCAGGATATGTCCAGTTGGGAAATTTTCAAGGATTCTTAATGTTTCTGCATCTGTCCTTACCTAGAGCTCCTTTAGTTAGTATTCTGGGAGTCATCTGGGGCTACCCTGGGCTCCCTGGATGTGTGGTACCCTGATCTAACGAGCCGGCTCACCTGCTCACCTCAGCATTTTTCAACAGACTGAAATTTTATTAATAGATACAGGGTAGCAGCAGGAATAACTAGCCTCGCATGCCTCTGACTGAGCAAGAGGGCCCATGTGGGGCTAGGGTCAGGGACTCGGGGTACAGGAGGGCCCAGAGAGCCACTCTCCCCCAAGGTGTGCCCTCCCAGGACCTTGAAGCTGAGGGTCAGGGCACAGTCTCGCCTGATGACAGTGGCCTCTGGGCCCTGAATGTGCCCCTGGGAGGAACTGGGGAAAAATACATGTAAATTATTGCCACAACTGGACAATCCTCTGTTAACGTTTAAAGAGTGCGTGCTGTTGAAATATTTTTTTTTTTTTTCTGAGATGGAGTCTTGCTCTGTCGCCCAGGCTGGAGTGCAGTGGCCGGATCTCAGCTCACTGCAAGCTCTGCCTCCTGGCTTTACGCCATTCTCCTGCCTCAGCCTCCCGAGTAGCTGGGACTACAGGCGCCCGCTGCCATGCTTGGCTAATTTTTTGTATTTTTTGTAGAGATGGGGTTTCACCAAGTTAGGATGGTCTCGATCTCCTGACCTCGTGATCCGCCCGCCTCAGCCTCCTAAAGTGCTGGGATTACAGGTGTGAGCCACTGCACCCAGCCAATTATTTATTTATTTTATTTTTAGTTTTGTTATTTATTTTTATTTTTTATTTTCTTTTTGAGATGGAGTCTCGCTCTGTCGCCCAGGCTGGAGTGCAGTGGCGTGATCTCTGCTCACTGCAAGCTCCGCCACCTCCCGGGTTAATGCCATTCTCTTGCCTCAATCTCCCTAGAAGCTGGGACTACAGGCGCCCGCCACCATGCCTGGCTAATTTTTTTGTATTTTCAGTAGAGACAGGGTTTCACCGTGTTCGCCAGGATGGTCTCGATTTCCTGACCTCGTGATCCGCCCGCCTCGGCCTCCCAAAGTGCTGGGATTACAGGCGTGAGCCACCACACCCGGCCAATAATTTATTTTTTTAAAACATTGTTAAACCTGCATCTCTGTTGGGTTTCTGATGAAAGATGCTATTGAGCTATAGGTTATTCCTGCCCCTATTCCAGAGCTCCTGTAGATTCCCTAAGACTCAGAATACTGATAATAAAACCAATTTAGAAAAAGGTCCAACACCGAATTTACTCTAGTACACTGAAAATGACATGCATCAAGCCCAGTGTGTCCCTGGTTTAACATGTAATAGTGTTGACATGCAGGTTTGTTATTGCAGTAATGACACTGGAAGAATACATTCTAAGTTTTTTAATTAGCCTTGTTCTGCGCAGTCTTCACACTGCATTTCCCTGCCAGTCACCTGTCACGTGCCTTGTGGGCGCTTCCTGCAGGGACAGCCGATCTGGGTTCCAAGGAGCAGCAAGGGCATCAGGCTGCCAGGTTCCTACCGCCTTGACTCTGCCCTGGCTCTGAGACCTTCCTTGAAGGTTAACCCTAGCGGTGGCCACATGGGCCCCTCAGTCCCTGCCCCTCCTCCTTAGCTTTCGCAGCAGGGATCCATTTTCCCCTCTGTTGTAAATATCCACCTAGAGGGAAGGACCGCCTTTGTCCTGGTAGACTGAGAAGCTGTAGAACTTAGCTGCATCCTCCAGGAGGACGTGCTTTGTGAGGCCTTGGGAACACATGCGTGCTGGCACACAGAAAGACACCTTCCAGCTGCTGCACCCACTGCTGCACCCACACACCCTCCTCCCAAGGAGAGTCTGTGTTCTGTGAAGATCTATCCCTAGAGTTTCCTGATGGGAATTCCTTCAATAAAAGGCAAAACTTCTGCTCAGTCTTGGGGCATGATAAAGAAAAAAAAAGACCAAACTATACCTCATTTGTATTAGCCTAACTCCTTAAAATGTAATCTTTTCCATTCCCTTTTCTCTTGTTAGGGCATCATAAGTGATTTTTATTTGATGACTCACCAGCATTTGAGCTGAGCAAGGGACTTTTTTCTTGCAAAATGAGTTATCTGCTCCCAGCCCCACCTAAATTTCCTGCCATCAATTAGAGGTGACAGTATTAAGATTCTATTGCTAGACTGATCTTAGAGGTCTTTGAAAAGCTACCTGAGTTTCTGGCCCTTACAGAGGGAAAAAGTCTTTTCAGATGAAGGAAAAACTCATCTGCACTTATCTCAAGTATTATGAGTAATGGTACATTGTGTAAGCTTGCTTTGAAAATATATTTATTTTTGTGTACCGTATATTAGGTGTGTGACCCAGTTGCATTCTGAATGCTTTCTATTTTTTTGTGTTTTCATGCAATTTTTGTTTATGGTCTTTAAATGTGCATTTCAGTTTATGTTTTTTCTTTCTTTTTTAAATTCTGGCACTACAGATGGCATGTCACATTTTGAACAATTTGTTCTAAAGAAACTACAAGTTTAAGAAATGTTATAGTAAATGTATTCTTGTATATTGGCGTATATGTGTATACACGTGACTAGACCGTATATTTACTGCATAAAAGTCTAGGCAGAGATGATATATACACACCTGTAGCGATAAACACCATTCTTAATAGTACAGCCCAGATGCTATCTGTGCCCTAATATGTTTGAACATTTTCATGCAAACGTTTGTGCCACAACTCACGTCTCTTTCCCGTTGCAGTTGAGTGCACACTTGTCAGAGTGTGTCAATGCCCCCAGCACCTGTAGTTTTAAGCGCTATGGCTGCGTTTTTCAGGTCAGTATCCGACATTTGTCCTTCCCAGTCACTGACATTCTGCCATGAGAGAAAGTTATTATATTAACATTTTAACATGCAAGCTCTGGACTCCTTATTCTTCGTCATGAAACTGAAACACCCTGTTGCCTGGGTGACGAAAGCCACGTGCAGCAGGCGGGATGCTCGCTTTCCAGTTGGTGGTGTTTTGAGACTGCAGGGAGACACTGCGCTGAGGTGGAAGTTAATACATTAAGAGAAGTGCTACATCCAAACCAGCTAGTAATGCAACAGACAGGCTTGACGTTTGGTGGGGTTTTCAGATAGATTGTTACGGAAATTTTCGCTGTTACCTGAATATAAGCGAATATCAAACTGAGCATAGTTTCAACAGCGTGTGTGTCAGTACACAGCCATAATGATCACACACGTGTGTATCCATAAATGCATTTGATATACATGTCTGTGCTGACTCTGACCCCAGCTGGGGACAGACGCAAAATGGAGCACAGCTCATAGAGAGCATACCTCCCAGAGAACAGCGTGGGGAGGGCATCTCTGCTGCTGCCACACATGTAGTGTGAGAAATCTGCATCTGGTGTTTTGTTGTTGTTTATTTTTTAACACATCTGAGATTGCTAGTGAATGGAACCAAGTTTTCATTTAAATATATGTATCTTAAAACTATCAAGAGGCAGTATATGTTACAATTACAGTATTTTATATTTTACGTAGCACCAATACATTATTATGAAGTCAGTACAGAGAGATTGGCATCTTAGTATTTTCTGAGGAAGAGAACAGCCAAAGAGTAAGAATGACTGTGCCTTCCTTTGCTTTAGTCTCTAGCAAGACTGAGCCTCCCCTGTTCTGTCGTACGTAGTATCATTCATTCTCTCTGTGTATGTGTATATATATGTTTATATATTGCAACACTTATATCAACATATATATATGAATATTCTATGTACAGAGTATATGTTTTGGAGATCATTAAAATGCTTTCTGTGGCTTCTTAATTTTCTAATAGCAAAACAAATTATATTTCAGACAAATTATTTCCTTAAATGTATGAAGTACAATTGCATGTGCTTATTCCTAACTCTAAAATGGTCTACATCTTATGTACTCTGTAGATTGTATTTGTTTTGTATGTAACTTTTCTAAGAATACTAGAATGGTGAAGAGCAATACATCTTTGGATACAGTGTATTTGAACTAATAAATTAATACTTTAGTAAATTCTTTTGAATCCTGCTTTGCTTACATGTTTACTAGACTGTTGTCTAGTAAAGTTGTGGCAGTATCTTGCCACAACTATGGGTATCTAAACATTTTCCACTTATACTACATTTTAATGAGAAAAATAGTTTATAATAGATCAAGAATGAGTTTAAAATTTAATTTCTTGATGTTACAAGTGTCAACCCTTGATAAGAAGCCACTTGAGATGAGCTGGAGGGATGAGGAGATAACCCTGAGATGCTCACTGTGGCATTGCAGGGTGCTGGCCTCCTCACCTGCACGCAGTAGCCAGGTGGCCCTGAGCACAGCCCTCCTTAGGCGCAGAGATTCCCTGTTCATTTGATGCAAATAGGTCTCCCCTCTTTGTGTTTAGTGCTGCTTTTAGGGTTGTATGTTAGCCTTTCTGCCCTTTGGAATGCAGCGAGGTTCGCTGAATGCCTCACATCTTTGCTCTCGCAGGGGACAAACCAGCAGATCAAGGCCCACGAGGCCAGCTCCGCCGTGCAGCACGTCAACCTGCTGAAGGAGTGGAGCAACTCGCTCGAAAAGAAGGTGGGCTGCACACTTTCCTGCTGCTATGGGATTTATATCATCTCTGCAGATTATTTAAAGACAGAACCTTTTTATAGTTATTAATGGGTTTTGGATAAAAGAAACCATATCAAGAATTGTCAAAAAAACTCTGTGTGTTCTTGAGCATATAAATGAAGGTGTTTTATTTTTGTTCTTTGTTTTTTAATTGCCAAACAAGTGTGAAGTGCTTTTTTAAAGTCAATCACATTTTGATTTTTTTAGCATCCATCCAGCACAGAGATGATCAGATGCCCAGTCCCCACCCTGCTGGTTTTTTTTGTAAGCAAAGTTCTGTTGGAAGACAGCCATCCTTACTCGCTCTGTGTTGTCTGTGGCTTCTTTCGCTCGAAAGCAGCAGAGTTAGAGATTGTGGGGACTGTACAGCTTGAGATATTGACTACTTAGCTCTTTATAGAATAAGTTTGCCAGCCCTGACCTGGGTGGTTACCCCTCTAAATGTGTTACACTTCTGTGTCTTTTACAAGAGACAAACAGGAGAAAATATTTGATATGACTACAATTGATTTTGTCATTTGACACCTTGTGAAACTTGGTGCACTCTCCACATAGATGGGACCACTTCCCGAAAAGACTCACTCTCCCATGCTGTTTTTTTTTTTTTTTTTTATTTTTTTTTTTTTCATGGAAGTTGTAGGAAACTGAATGTTAATGTAAAACTTTCTGAGTAATCATTCATTTTCAGTTCTCTTGGATAAACATCTACGAGTGAAATGGCTAGGTCATAGGTAGGTATATGTTTTTTTTTTTTT